AATTTTCTTGTGGCATTAGTTGTGGTAAGTCAAAACTTGCACCAAACAATACTAGTTTTGTTTTTGTTATTCTGTAGAAATAGAGGTTCCTGGACTTGAAAATTTTGTTTACACATAAAACCATACAATAATCCTTAAAGTTATCCTCACAATGCCAGAGTAGAAGTTAGGAAAGGAAAGAGAGCTACAGCTCTTTCTTCATTTCCAGGTTACTGGAGCTGGAATATGTTTACCTTTACAGTCTGATTTTCAATACTGTTCAGTAACTGTTTCCTCAATATTCCTTTAATGATACATGCAGGAGTTCAAAAAGCCTTTAGAAAGAACATGAAAGTAGGTGTGGAAAATGTTTGTGAGGAGATGATGGTGGTTGTTGCTATTGCAATTTGTTTTCACCTGTGCAAGTGTCCAAGGTCTGGTAGAAAGACTAACTTAGTCTTCTGGAGTATATATATTATGTTGATGAGGCATGTAGTGGTCTCCCCTCCTGTGGAAATATTTGAGGCTGCAACAATTTTTGGCCTTTCCACTTTAGAAAGGAAAGTCCAGCAGCAGTGAATGACAAAAGAGTACCTGCCCTTTTGTCAGCTCTGTCTCCTGATCTCCTACTGAATCCCTTCAGGTTGCTGGTAGAATGTCACTTGCCTGCATAAAACATGTTTCTAACCCTCCCTCGCTTTCTTTTTAGTCATTCACTGCTGCTGGACTTTCCCTAGTTTTGCTTTCCTTTAAACAGATGCAGGGGATTGTCCCTCTGATAAGGACAATCACAGATCTTAAGACAATGGTTCAGTTCCTAGAATCTGGGCTTTTTGAGTTCCCTGCAGTTCTTCAGAGATACCCAGGGTTGAGGGAAGAAAAGACTTCCATGAGGACTGGTCAAAACTAATTCTTTGAACCTTAGCTGTTTAGGGTGTATTTTCAGATGTGTTTTGCTAACATAACAGATCAGTGTTGCAAGCCGTGCTGCTCCTGGGCCTTGCATTGCTGTACACACAGTGGTTGCTTTTGTTCAGTTCATGAGAGAAAATGCAAGCTTCTGTTTTCCTGCTTAGAAAATGCCAAGTGTGCCTGAAATTGGCCATCGGAGGATACAGGTGTGTGCCTCAGCCAATACCCATGTCTTGTATCCTGCAGGCATGAGAGCAGGAAAGTCTATTGATGCATTGTCATACAAATGGATGAAATAAATATGTAATGTCCAGAACAAATAGATTATTCTGTTGCTTCCAGACAGCAATTACATATATTGTCAGCCTATGTGCAGATGTATAGATACCAACTAGAGCATAACTAGGGCCTAATAGTGGTAATGACAACATCTGGAACCATCTGGAACATATGTTGCCTCCTGTATTGCTCATATTTTCTGCACATATGGTCCTTTCATTGTCTTGCACAGCTTTTGTACTGGAGCACTATTTAGTAGTTGCCAAAAATCAAGTTCTGATAGAGCAGCTCTGGTCAGCAGGACTCCAGTCGAGCTTGGGACCCAGTGGTTGTGGTGGTTTTGGTAATTAGCCAGTTTCCCTCAGCACTGTCTCTGAGTTTCTCCTTTTTACAGTTCACACAGCCTGTGTCCTGATTGTCCTCTGGTATATAAATTCTTAAGTTCCCAGGCTAGTGTCGTCTTTAGATCTCAAACTTTATTTTTCAGTGCAGTCTAAAAACCAGGAGGCCAATGGCTGTGTGATCCTGTGGAGCTAGAGAATATGCAATCAGAAGTATCATGACTTTGAGTTACATCAGTACATAAAGTAGATGTGTCTGGAGGATGTCTGTTTTACTACTCCTCCTTTCTCTTGCCCTCCATGCACATATACATACAGATGATGCAACCAATCAAAGTCCCAACAAGCAACTATAAAAGGTTTCCATAAGGCAGTCAAGGTGCAGATTCCTTCATTTCTGTCAGTTCTTGTGATGGAGTCAGGGGCCTCTGGAAGGTGCTGGCGATGATGTAGATGTAGCTGGTGTCCTCAGGTGATCCAGGTCCTTAACTACCAATACCCGTGTCTCCTTCCTTTTTCAGGCATGGTGTTGGATGCAGCAGACAGACAAGATCTTGCAGTGGAATCATAGGCAAGAATTGAGCCTCATCCCAAGGGACTTAAATCTTGCCTTCAGATAGCTAAGTGCTCAGCCTGTAGCTTGGGGCAACAGCTAAGATGATGACACAGTGGTTTCTGGAGATGGATGAGGTGTGTTGTGTCCCCATCCCCTCGTCCCCCCCCAAAATTAAAAAAGAGAAATGTGAGGGGAAAATTTAAGTGAAGGAGTTGGTAGTTAGGCAGAGTGCAGTGCCATCCTGCAGCAGTGGTAGTGACAAGTCTCACTTGGTGACAAGAGACAATGCAAGCTGTCTTGCTTGCATGAGCTTGCTCAGGCTGGACATGAGGAACACGTGAGTGTCTTGCAGCAGCTTGCCCAGCCAGCTGGCACTGCTCTTGATGCAGTCAATATGCCTAATGGTCTAAGCAACTTTCAACATGGCAGAATAAATCCATACTTGTATCTTTATGGTGCTATCATGTATATGGGCGTGTGGGCCAGCCAGTATAAATGGGAGATCACAAGCAGAAAACGCATGCCCCAGCCTCTTGCAAATGCATTTCCTTGAGGTGTCGCATGCCTGAGGCTTTACAAGTGGCTCTTTTTTTTCCCCAACTCTGAGCCCTCCAGCAGGAGAGTAATGTGAGGGTTGTGTGTTCCCAGTCTCTGAAGGAATGAGGCAGTGTCTTTCTTTGATACTCAGCCAGGTTGTTTGAATGTCACCTTCCCTATCAGAAGTTCTGTCTCCACTTATGATCCTTCCACACTTCTATCATGACACTTTGCTGCCAGTCTGATCAGTCCCAGGTGGTGCATGGAAAGAATAACATACCTCTTCATTTTATTTGTATAACTTTTACTATCAGGAGTTTCTTTTGGGTTTTGTTTTTGGTTTTTTTTTTGTTATTTCTCTGCTATTTAAGTAACTGAAGACGCTGTCCACTGTGGGATTTCCCCATTATAGCTTCCTGCTTTTGCTACCATGATTTCATTTCTAGCCACAACTCGGTTTTAGGCAGCCACTGCCATTCGAACCACCCTGTTGCCCAACCTGTATCTGTATCAGCCTTTTCTTTGACAGAGGTAAGAAGTCACATTTGAAAAACACATGATCACATAGGTATATTTTAGCATGCATAAGCAATGTTTGAAGGATGACAATGCACCAAACTGCCACTATTGTGGGTTTTTTTAATGCACTGTACCAGGTGGTCTCTAGGCTTTAAGGGCAGGGCTGCGTGCTGAAAGCTGCAGGAACTTCGAGCTGCTGTGTGATGCAGAAGTGTGCAGGGCTTAGCTGGTTAGCCACTTGCAGAAAAGCAGAGGTTTCTGCTGAGATCTGGCAGGTGCTGTGGACTAGGCTGGCTCACCCACCATTGGGATGCTGTCACCTTGCAGCTCTGGATCCATGGAGTTTAATGCTATCTTACTTCCCCCCCTGAATTTCAAACATCATTACTTGGAGTCAAACACAGCTTTCCAGTTTACTCTAGAGTTTCAGAAAAATGCTGAGGGAAGTATTGTAGCTAACACATTTAAAATCTTGATCAGTGAAAGCCCTTACTCTGCAGACTTGCTTTAAGTGGTGTTAGGTACTGTTCAAAATCCCATTGGCTGCCAGTATGTTGTCAGTGCTGCAGTCATGGAACAGAACAATGGGTGGCAACAACCAGTCAGCAAAGGAAACAAGGAATAGCTCTCTCAAGATAGGAATAACTTGAATTTCTGATGCATGCAAGCAAGAAAAAATGCCATCTTCTCACCCACTCCCTTTTTGTGCCCATCTTTCTTTTTTGCTTCATGCTGTACCCAAACTTTCTAGTTGTAGGCCATTTTTAGAAACTACACTGATTCTGAAGTGGCATTTTACTCTGGTTTAAACATTCTTCACATCAGTTATTGAAGTATTAGGGGTAGAATAACGAGTGCTTACCTTCCTATGTGCTAGCAAATTATTTTTCAATGTAATTTAATTTTGCCTGAAGTATATTATTTATAACATTGGATACCTGATTGTATATTCACTTTTCAGTACCCCTGGAGACAAATTTCATGCTGACCATTCAAATGAATGTTATCATGCAAGTACTAACAAGACTAACTGGGAATAACTAAGTTATGTGTAGGCGTGAGAACCATCATGATTCTGATAAATTCCCACGTTACAAACCAACCTGCTTGATTTGATTCAGTATTTATTTTAATGGGAGCAAGGTGATCTAAGATAAATTTTTCTTGAGACTGTTTTGCCTCATGGAAACTATACAAAAGCTATTTGTAGTAATGGTAATTTGCTATTATGTATTTAGATCTGGAGCAGTGGTAGGGGAGGAAAGCCAAGTTTAAAAATCAGGAACATTATTTTGCCTTCATTTCATTGAAGGGATTCTCAAAGCCCAGGAGACCTTCTACAGCTATATGGTGAACTTCTGATTTAATGTGATAGACTGCTACCCTTATCATTTTACTTATCTATATGGAGTCATGCATACCTATGTGATGGATTACTTATGTATAGAGAGGATTATAAAATATTTTCCATTTCTGTATGTATAGAGAGGATTATAAAATATTTTCCATTTCTGTTGCCTCTAGTATCTTCAGGCCATGTATCTAGTTCCAATCTTGGTGCATACAATTAAGCCTCCAGGCAAACCTAGGACTAGGATTTTTATTTTTAAATACACTTCAAAACCAGTTGTTCCTATGGTATCTTTTATGTTCCTTTGCTCCTGTTTTTCTTTAACTTAGCTTTGTGCTTGCTGAAACCTTAAAAGCATAAAACAGAAGAAGGGTTTGGAAGCAGTAGAATGACTTCCTTGTATTGTGTGGATTATACATTCCTTATATTCTCTAAAAATGCTATCAGTGAAAATTTAATCTCTCTGCCTTGAAACTATGGTATGATTTTACTGTGATGTATGCTGTTGTTTTCTTCTTTATTTCAGGCCAAACAAACAAAGTAGCCAAGGAGGCAGCCAATAGATGGACTGGTGTGTATGCATTTATATTGTTTAACACAGCTTCAGACTAAAGCAATTTCAGTAAAAGACCTACTTATTGTTAAGAATTTTAAATATGCTTAGGACTTGATGCAGGATAGCTCTCACTTATAAAAGCATGCAGAAATGTATTTCACTTAAAAATTAACATGATTCAAAAAAAGAATCCATTTTCTCAGTTTAGTTACTGAACATACTTCACATCACACAACAGAGTAGTTGTTGTTCTGGTGCTGTTTTGCATACTGTGTTAAAACCTACACCTTATTTTCTTGGTTGAGTTAAAATCTTTTAAGGTCAGGAAAACATAAATAGAAAGAGACTGGAAGTAGTGCTATCCAGGTATTCAGAAAGTTCAATTCTTTATTTCTGAATTTTCCTCTGTTTCTCAAGAGTAGAATGCTTTGTGGAACCTTATTGCTGCTACCATGTAATGGATGCTAATATAAAGTAGGTATTTCTCAAACTAATTCATCACCTTTGACATGCAGGAAAAATGCTGCACAGTTCTGAGGAAGGTTACTGTGATAACATTTGGAAGTTTAGCTCAATTTTCTGTTGTTGTTTAGTTTTGCTATATTGCTTTATATTTCCATTTTGCAGAGCAAGCAATATGTATGTCCTTTTTAAAAAAATATTTAGAATATAATTTGTAACTTTTTGTTTAGAATTCATCTACTACTGATGGACTGCTTGCTATCATTGGTTATGCCAAGTGCAGCAGGATATCATTTTCATTGTCTTTTGACTATTATTTTATATCTTAATTTGCACTGGGTTGTTTACTGCATATGGGGATATAAAGTTACATATTTGACAACAACTTCTGGGACTACTGTTGTCAGGGCTTTCTATTGTTGATGACAGGCTGTTGTTCTCAAAGTCTTGAGAGAGGTTAACAAATACGCCTCAGCTTTTAGGAAGTACTTTGCTACTTAATGAGACAATTAGGTTATATGCTGTAGCATATTTTTCTGTTGAAGAGACAATTTTAAAACCAAATATCTGATGGTTAAAGAAAAGAAAGTATTTCTAAGGTGTGAAGACACAGAGAACACTTCCTGTCTTAAGGAATGCTGCAGTTTATGGGTGTTAGGAATGATGTAGTGAGTTACAATCAATACTGCAGTGAAAAATTATGTTAAATTGAAGAGAATTTATGTGCTAAAAGAGAAGTGCTTGACTAAAATAAAGCTAATTGAATATATTTTTTTAACTTTCAAACCAAATGTACATTATCTGAACAAACATACGCAGGACTAGAAATAACCTTATAGTTGACCTGAATCTGATTTTCACAGTTGTAGACAGTCACACAGTAGGTGTCTAGTTGAAAAAGGACCTATAAAATACTTATGCATATTCACACGTATCACTCTATAGCAGGCTTACACTGTAATTGTAGCTTTCAGTCTTCTCATGGAAGAAGAGTAAGTAAAGGTAGCACCCAGAAAGAAGACGTATTTTATTTAGTACTGAGTAAAAGAATCTCATTAAAAGCCTCCCTTTTTCTCTTCTAAATCTACTCAGTAATGATGTTCCTCACTATGTACCTTTTTCATATACACAGAGATAATGCAAATGGAAGGATTCAGTTGTAGCCAAGACTACAATTCATGCTTTCCTAAATATTCAAAACTGAATGTTTCTCATTCTGTTTACAGATAACATCTTTTCAATAAAGTCCTGGGCCAAACGTAAATTTGGATTTGAAGAAAGCAGAATTGACAAAAGCTTTGGAATCCCAGAAGATTTGGATTACATTGATTAGCATTCAGCAGTTGATGGCTGACAGTTGTAAATAGTTTGTTAAATATTCTCAGTTGCCATTTAAATGTGTATCTGAATCCTCTCCTAACAACTGACCACCCTTTAATTTTCAGTTTTTTGTTAAAATTAATAAAATTCTAAAATTATTTGTTGCATTTCCTTTTTTTCCTTATACTCTCTGGATGGTAAATCTCTTCGTTTCCTCTGTGAGACAAAGAGTAGACAGGGGTTATAGGAAATAATTACCACAAATTCCTGAGGCTGGTTTTTACTCTTCTTTTGCTTAACTGGGAGTAGTGCTAAGAGCTAGAAGCTCCAGAGATTTATGTTTAAACATGCTGAAGACTTAGGGGCGGAAAGAGGCATAATCCATTAATGGAAAACAGTGAGACAGTAAGGATGTGAGTAGAAAGGCTGAGGTCTGATTTCAAGTTGTTTCGTGTTGCTAGAACTGCTTGTAAGTTTAGTGACAAAATTTAGGTGGTTGATGGAAAATACTAGTTCATGAGAGTTAAATCTGTTCCAGTGAAAGTACTGGATTTGACACTGAGAACGCTTTTCTGGTCAAGATAGTTGCTTCGTAGGGGAGGGAGCAAAGAACACCCAGCCATCCATTCACACCACAGTGAACCAAGATGCTAATCTGTGATGTAAGAGACTGAATTCAGTTTGCTGTTTGGAACTGAGCATTTTGGGGTTTATGCACATTTTTCAATTTCAGGGTAAAAAAGCAGCCAACCAAAATATAATAACAAATTTCAGAATGTCTGATTTTTGGTGGAATTTCACAAGCACCTCACTTTCTATCAGCTTTTGGTTTCTAGCTCTGATCAGTGCATGGCTGCAGAAAGAGAGGAAGAGAGTACAGACTGGTCTTGTACCTCCCACAGCTATGGATTGCAAGGCAGCATTTCTGCTGTACAGCTCTGGAGGATATAGGTCTTACATCTAGAAGGCAGGTGGGCCTGCTGCAAGGTAGATGTATGTATCACTGCGAAGTGTCTGTCTGCCTTTTGTGTAATCTCTGATGAAAGCATTGATGAAAATGTGATGTAGCTGGAGATACATATGCTCAGATGTCTGTCTCCTGTGACCTTTCCAATTAAAAAATTTCTTAGCAGTTCAGTGTGTGTTAAAATCCAAGGATTTCAGGTGTGCCCCTGGCTGTTGTCATCTCATGTCTATGAAGACAGCAAAGTTATTGGGAAGATACCAAGTGGAAGATCATCTTCTCATAGAGGTAGCACAGCAAGTTGTCTGTTGCCTAAGGAAAATGTATGCGATGCCTGGCACATAGTAAAAGATCCCTGTGCTTACAACTTCAATGGAGACATTTCCTTTTATGTGTTTGGAAAGATTTTATTCCTAATATATCCAATATTTAATATATAATGTGTTACAAACTAACAGCTTACCAGCTGTTGACTAGTAAAAGCTTAATGCAAGTAGTATTGAGGTGAATGCAGTGTTTCTTACCAGGCCTGGCTTTTGCCCCATGACTGGAGTGCTGTACACCAAAGCTGTCTGATGCTGCCAAATCAAACTACTGATGCACATGTAGCTTAGGCGGTTGTTCTTACTCTTGGATTTTGTGCTGTGAAACAATGAAGAGCGAGCTTTTATTGTTCTTTGTAGAGTATCTAATTGATCTTTTTTTTCTAAATATCTGTTTTTTCTGTGAATCTATTCTGTACCACCTGACAGGTGTCAGAAGCTCTTTGGTACATCTGCATTTGAGACCACATATCTGCCACACATACGAAATGATGATGACTTGGAAGACTTGTTCATTTGAAGTAATGTTGAGCATGTGAACTTACCAACGGTTCTTGCCTCTTAGAATCACTTTCACATGGCTGAACTTCTACTCATCAAGGAGTCTCAGGTAATTTACGGCCTGTAGCAGTTAGTGCAGTAAGACTTCCCCTGGTACCTGTGGGGATGAGGGTTTCTTACTCATTTTTACTGCTTTGGCTACTTTCCAAATTCAAGAAGGAAATAAACATGACCAGCTATGTAAGTTTAGCTGCAATATTGTGCCTTCCTGTCTGTAGCATGAAAGCATTATGGACTGTAATAAAACCATTAAATTTAATAAATAGCAACCAAATAGCTGTACTTGAGGTAGACTTGCTTAGAGATGCTACAGTCAGCCAGCATGAGCAGTACCTCTAAAATGTCAAACAGCCCTCATGCTTTGGACACAAAACTTGAGCATTCAAGAACAAGGAATTTCTAGCACTATCATTTTCTCTACAGTTTTGAGTTTGTTTTAAATATACATATGAATATATTAAATACATTCAAATAGACTTGCAGTCATACTTTCTTTTCTGCTCCTGTCTTCTACTTCTGGTGTTGGTTAGCAAGCCTGGCGAGAGAATGTGTCTCATCCTGTAAGGACACGGTTTTGGAACAGCCAGAACAGAAATTTCTCAGCTAATGAGAGGCAGGGAAGAGGCAGCGCATTATCAGAAACCAATACTTATTCCTCTAGTGGAACTGATTTATTTTGTGCTACCTTTCTTGTGATTCTCTGGTTTTAGTGTAGATGACTTTCAACAGGAAAAGCAAATCCAGATCCTTTCTGAGACAAAAAGAGACAATTTGTATTACTTGAATATTCCAAGACACTTTCAGATGGCTGCATCTGCTCACTTTTGGAAGCTTTCTTAAAAAGATATGCAGAAAACTTCTAAATCCCACAGTGTGAAACCATATCGATTATGTGGTTTGAGATGCATGTTCACTTTAATTTTTAAGAGAAGCTGAGACTTTCCTGCTGGAAGTCACCAATGGTTAAAATTATTTTCCTTCTCCTGAGATATTTTTGGCTATTAGCCTATAACAAAAATGAAAACAATCGATCCCATCTTGTGTCCCAATTAGTTTCTTCAATGTTTTCCTGAGATAAAATCTAGAATATTTCTGCAGAATCTAACATGAAAGTAGTGGGCTTTAAATGCTCACTTCTGCTGTCACTCTTGTGGTTATGTCACAGCTATATTATGTATAGGTCTTCCTCTTTTTTCTTTTCTTTTTTTTTTTTTGGTGTCTTCTGCCCTGTAGGTTTTTTGCCCATGTAAGGTCAATATTTTCAACTGTTATAGCTAACTCAGGAGGTCAGGCCCTTACTATAATTTAAGTTTATATTTAAAGCAGGTACTAGTGCAAAGTGAAAATCAAAGGCTTTGTTTTTATCAGTCTGCAGCTCTGACAGGAGCAGTATCAGGTCCAGCTTTTAAAAATAATCTCACGAGGAGTTTATCACTACAGTACTAGGCTGAGGTGTTGGATAAGCCTACTGTTCAGGACTGATGTTGATTAGCCACTGTGAAGCAAACCTGGACACGAGAAAATATTTGTACCTGGGCTACTTAGGAAGCTTACCAATTTAAAGAAAGTTTGCTGACTGTATCTGTTCTGAACCAACCTATATTTCTCAGCCTTTCTTTTAACTAGCCATCTGCATTCTCTGTACAACACCAAGAATGAACTGTAGAGCTCCTTTTGTGGTATTTGCAGAACACTAAAATGTTAACAGTCACAAGGATTTAAGTTTTGACGTAATTCAGCTCCTAACATTTCACTAATGCATCCTCTGAAATGTCATTACTTTTTTGGGGTGTAGTAACCTGCATGTTTTAAAAGGGAAAATCCAGGCTCTGAAGCGAATAGCACAGTGATGCTGTGACCGAGTGGCAAAGGTGGAACTGAAACTTACTGGGAGAACAATGGGAAAAGAAGTCTAGCCTGTGACAGTGCCTACAGTTTGATGCAAGAGCTCTCTACAGATTCCTCCTGTCACTCAGGCCAATTTCCACTAGTCAGATGATCTGGCTGGTGCTCATCTTTAACTTGTTTCTTGTAGAGGTGATGTTTGTATGATTGTGTTTTCTGTCATTTCTCTCCTCCTTTTCCTTCCCAGTGTTCTTAAATTTCACAATGGTTTTTAGCCAAGTTTAGTTTGAAGGGTTGCAGTGCAAGCTGACAATTTATTGGTTCTGCTTGGCTGGCTGCCTGATAAATACAGGTTTTCCCTTTCCCACCTGCCAGTCTAGGGACCTGAAAAGCCGTAGAGCATGCTGTGGCTGGGAGGAGGAAGGAGAAATGTTGAAGATGGCTGTAAAAGACCTGAAAGCATTTGGTGTCTGCTTGTGCTGGAGTTTATGTGAGGGTCTGGCAGCATTGCTGGGGCTGAGGTGGGATGGTGTGTGCATGCATCATTTCAGTGGGAGGGAACTGGGATCTAGGAAACTGGTCTCTTGGCAGCCAGACTTCATGACTTCTGCTGCTCACAGAGCTATGTTTATTAGTCTGGGGGTTTGTGGCACTGTAAATTTACACAAGGCTTTACTGAGACAATGGTTAGATGTCTTGCCTGCTCTAGAGAATCAGCACACCCCAGAAGTGCATGTCTGGTGGCTTCAACAGCTGAAGTCTTGGTGTCACACAAGTGACTGGATTCTTCCGTTTGCTGTTAATTGCCATTTAGATACAATGCTTGTGTAAATATTCCAGTGCTTAAGGTATCTATCTTCACAGCACCGATAGCCTTTCTCTTTAGCTTCCTTTTCTCCTTGTCCTTTTTGCGATTTCTCTTCCATCTTTCCACTGTCATTTCCCTTTCAGATCTGCTTACAGAAACTATGTAGGCTGAACGAGCAGCACTGCAGTCAGTACAGATGGTTGTCTGTCTTTACTCCTCCTCTTGCTGACACGCCTGTCAGTGCACACACCTTCCAGTCCACAGGCATACAGGAAGGCAAGCATCTATATGTCAGACTTGCCTCTTTAAATTCTGTGCGGAAGGTTGCATGGCAAGAAGACTAGAGGACAAAAACATCTGTGAATACCACCACAAGCGCCACTGAACTTTTCAGGGTCACTTCAGAAGCTTTATAATGTCTCACAAATGAATGAACAGTTTTTATGCTACAGATAATTTGGTCAACTAGTCATTATTTCACCTAACCTACTCAGAAAAATTTTCCTTTTGAAAAAAAATTCCTGGTGAAGTGTTTATAAATAACAGCTTTCAAGCAAAACCTGCTGGGCAATTTTCTGTTTCCAGTTGTTTGATGAAAACCCAAGTTATTCTAAGAAATTAGCCTTTCCACATGAAAGACATCATTTTAAAAAACAGTC